AGTGGCAGTGGCAGTGGCAGTAGTCGTGCTTGTGGCAGTGGTGGTTGTGGTGGTCGTCAAAATACAGGCCGGCTGCAAGGACAGTCGGCCCCGGACCGTAGAGCCTTCCCACCGTCGTCATCGTATAATACTATATACTGCCAGGAGCATCAGCCACTTCAGCGTTTTTTGACTGGCTTTTGTTTCAATCACTGTCGTCGCCCTCATGATGTTGTGATGTTCTTGGCATCTGACCACAACGTCAGCGCGGACTGCAGGCCCCAGTCGAGTTGCATCCGCTTTGGCTGCGCCTGAATGACCCGAGTCAGGCACACCGAGCTTCTGAGTACCAGGTGTACTCGCACTAGCAATGACGACAACTATAAGTTAACTTGCGGCTTCAGAGTGTCGGTCTCCGGGTTTGAGTGTCGTACGGTCAGAACTCAATAGTCAAGTGTTGTGGAGCTTGCAGGGTAAACGCGCATAGTGTGGAATGAAGGGCCGATACATGCCCGAGGCAGAGCGAAATTGCCAGGAGTCCCTTTAAAGCAGAGGAGTTGGAAGTTTCAACTTGTGATCAGACACGGACTGCACTGGGCGATGAGTCGTGCTTCCAGGCAACCCGGAATCAACAGCGCCTCTTTGAAATGTCTAGCGTCGTTACTGGAGGCATCAGCCACTCGAAGCAGCAGAGGCATGTGCGTGTGTAGGGCCTCTGGGTCTGGACGTATGCTCGTGCACGAGTATATAAACATATATACTCGTACACTTACTCACAGACATACATACATACATANNATATATATGTAGAGAGAGAGAGAGTTATACACACGTACTGGTACATATCGATTGTAGAGCTGCCGATCTACGGACTCAGCACGGGTGAAACATCATGTTTGATAGCCCAAGGCAGATTATATTGATTACGTAATGCTTCTGGTGGTACCTGCCTAGCTCATCTAGTTCAGTCTTACGGCAACCCTATACATAGTCCCTAGCTTCGAACTGCTGACCTTGCATCCGAGGCCCTAGCGTCGACCACTGCATCAGCGCTGAATCGGAGCTGCATGTCTCCTGGAGTGATGGACTTCAGAGCCAATATCCCTGGAGCTGGTTGGAGCAGCAGATGCAGCCTACAACCGTGGAGAGGTTCTTATGGAGAAAAGGCTTGAGCCAGTTTCTCCCTGAGATTCCGTACACGTCCCTGAACTCACGGATGGGCAAGCTGCAACTCTGCAGTTATCTTGAAAGATACGGACTGGGTATCATCCGAGGAGTAGACGTCGAGACGGGGATGGTTGCCGAAGTGGGGAACCAGATCGGCAATGTGCGTGTGACAAATTACGGGTCCATCTTCGATGTGCAGGACAAGGGTGCTGAGGCTACAAACCTCGCATTTACCAGCCAGAGGATCCGTGCACACACGGACAACCCATACAGAGACCCCTTTCCAGGTGTGCAGATGTTGCATTGCCTAGAGAGTGCTGAAGAAGGTGGAGCCACCATGTTCATCGATGGTTTTCGGGTGGCTGAAGAGCTTCGAATCCAAGATCCTGAGGCTTTTCGCATGCTTGCAGCGACTTCGCACCCCTTTGAGTATCGGGATCCGGACGAGGGAGTGCTGCTGCGCGCGACTGCACCCGTGATCCAGCTCGACCAGGCCAATGCCGTCCAGCGCATCACCTTCAACAACCGATCAGCAGCGGCTTTGCCTGCATCTTTCCCGCACCTGGAGGAGCACGGAAGCATCCTCAGATCCTCCGAAGCCTCAAACCAGCAAGCTCGAAGAGGCCAAATTTACGAGAACTGAAGCCTCATGAAACCTACGTCATTCGACATCTGTAGACCTTAGCCTACTGCCAGGAGTACTACAGGGCATGGGCAGCGTTTGACTTTCTGGCCAATTCGGATGACTACGCTGTGAAGCTTTTGATGAGGTGCCACAGTCTAAACATTGGGGTCAAATCTATAGTTGGCGCTCACATGGGGATAGCTACCCAAACTATCTGCCGGCCTGCTTTCAAGAGTCAAGCGAAATTACGCTTTAGAGCGTTATCAATTTGAGTAGGGCAACCACCTCCACCCAATTTTTGGTGTTCCTAGGCCAGGGGACTTGGCCATTTGGCTGAATGGTCGCGTCATGCATGGCCGTGAGAGTTACCGCGCTGGTGGCCGGCGGCACATTCAGGGTGCATATCTGGATCAGGACTCCCGCGTGTTATTCTTTCTGATCCACGCGAACAAGATGCATCTCGCACATGAATGTGTGCACAAATGTCCTGCGCGTGTATGTATGTATGTATGTATGTACGTATGTATGTACGTACGTACGTACGTACGTACGTACGTACGTACGTACGTACGTACGTATAATATTGGTAGGTGGGTAGGTAGGTAGGTAGGTAGGTAGGTAGGTAGG